ATCACAATGTGGTTTGTGTCGGTCAAGACATTAGCGAGTTTTTACAACTCGCATGTCAAGTCGTCGTTTGTGTGTCGCATGTGTTTTTTTTATTTTGTCGAGTGTGAAGTGTCCATCGCATCGCAGGTGTGCGCAGCAAGCCCCCATCAACTCAAGAAGAATTTATCTTGCAAATCCAAGACCAAGAGCTCCACATTTCAAGCCCAAGGGACGCGGATAAATATAAAATAGTGAAAATAGTAACGCTACTTCGTATAGTGTTACATTTCACTTGGTGTAGCCCCTTGGAGGGTTGGTTTCGAGACTCTTCGTGGTTGGGGACTCTGTGGTGGTGTACCACCAACCAGGACCTCAGCTCTTGGGATATGTAGAGGCTGGGAACCATCTCCCTCTCGAATTCTTCTTCCTAAGTTTTTTGTACTCCTAAGACTATAGTGGCTGCTGTACCTCCTGCCAGTCAAACCGCCATAGCGTCGTCAAATCTTCATGGAATTTCATGATTCAACTTTCTGCTGATAGACGACAGTAACGCCGTGCATCCAATTTACAGAAAACCGTTTAAGTCAGCGAGCAGATCGTTATGAATATTTGAAGCCGTCTAACGGAAATCCGACTGTGCTCTCTATCTCTCATTATTGGCATATCTGAGCCTATTCTGACTATAACAAGTGGTATCAGAGCCCCTTGGAGCTGTTTCGACCATGCCTAGGCCTGAGGAAGGGGGTGGCAGAGGTGCTGGAGGCAGAGAAGCCGCCCAAGCACAAGGTCAACACCAAAATCCACCCGTTGCTCCGGTGCAACCTAGCCTTGGACCCTCTAGGGATGAGCCTAGAGTGTTTGGCCTTGACAAGTTCAACGGTGACAACTTTGCTGAGTGGTCTTTCAAGATGGAGAACATCTTTGACCACTATAATCTGCTGGAGGTGATGGAAGGAACGGAGAAGCGCCTCGAGAACGACCCGGAGAAGAGCCCGTGGGTGCGGAAGAGCGCACAAGGCTACCTTCTACTTGGGCAAGCATTGGGGAGCAGCCAAATCCGTCACATCAAGCCTTTTCAGCGTGAACCAGCAAAGGGACCAAAGGCATGGGCTGCTCTCAAGGGTGTACACGCTCCTGCAACAGCGGCGGTAGCTGTGGTTTTGGAGCGGCAAATGGCGGCACTTCGAATTGACGAAAGCGAACCGGTGGAGGAAGGAGTGCAGAAATTCTTCGACTTGTTGACACGGCTCGAAGGAGCTGATCTGAACTACAGTGACCTTCAAAAGAAGACCAAGCTGCTGGCCTTACTTCCGGACTCATGGTCCTCGCTCATCATCAACCTTAATCGAGATCTGCCCCGTCTCTCACTCGAAGATGTGAAGCGGGAAATCTTACAAGAAGATTTCCGCCGTCGCGAATTGGCGGGTCCCGATGGTGCCGGAGTTGCAAGCATGGGCCGTGGGCACGGCCGTGGAAGGAGCAAAGGGCGAGGTGGAAGATTTGGCAGCAGTAACTTCAGTGGAGGCCGTGGTAATAGAGGATATGGCAGCAACAACAACAACAATGGCTATGGGCGTGGGCGCGGTCGATTTGATGGCGAATGCCACTTTTGTCACAAGACCGGCCACATGTGGAGAGATTGCTTCAGATTGCCTGATGGATGGACCCCTTCTCAAGGCCAAGAGGGCAGAGGAGCAAGGGGAGGAAGAGGCAAAGGTCGTGGAGGCCGTGGTGGCCGTGGAGGCGAAGCGGCAAGCATGAAAGGTGGAGACTACGACAAGGACTCGAGTGAAGATCGATACCCGGGCCAATTCTTCTTTGTCTCCACGCAAGCGGCAGCTGCAGCAGGAGTTGTGGAAGGCTTTGAGGAGCCAGCTACTGTGGGAAAGGTCACCCTTCACTCTCTGGACTTTTGGGTGATCGATAGCAGCGCCACCTATAGCATGACACCTCGTGCGGACTTGCTCACCGAACTCGAACCGTCGCCGGTCAAGCATGTTACATCGGCTTTGGGGCAGCGAGCAGAGGTGAAAGGCATGGGCAAGGCCATGTTCAAGGGTGCTGATGGGAAGATGGTGGGCCTCAAGAACGTGCTTTGGGTGCCCAACCTAGCAGCCAACCTGATCTCTGTTCGGCGTTTGCAGAAGGCCGGCATGGACACATCTTCCAAGGGCTCCAAAACATATACCGCGAGGCTTGGTGAGCGGAAGCTTTGGGACCTTCATGAGGACAGGGACATCTACAATGAGATGTGGCAAATCCCAGTGGTCCCCATGCCTAAGGGGAGGCAAGTGGCAGCAAGCATCAGCACCAAGAGTGAAGCGGTTTGTGGCGGTGATCACGGAAAACAAAGTGACACCAAGAGTGACTCGAAGGAGTGCAACCTTGGAGAGACCAGCAAGGTGTGTGAACCCAAGGAGAGTGGTGCAGCAGCCAATGGTGGTGGAAATGAGGAGAAGATCAGCAAAGCAGCAGCGGCGAAGGAGAAAGGAGAGAGCTTGTGGGGCACAATTGCGAGTGCCGCTTTCTCCAACCCGACTTCCGCTACGGGAGAGTGTGATTGGCTGACCTTGCATCGGCGAATGGGGCATGTGGCATTGCCCATTTTGCAGCAGATAGTTAAGCAATAGATGGTCAGTGGGATACGTGTCAAAGGGGAGCCCAATGAGGTGCTTGGCTGTCCAACATGCATGCAAGCCAAGTTCACCCGCTACTTGTTCCATAGCTCGGAGACAACGGCGAAGGCACCACTTGATGAAGTGGTGATGGATGTGGTGGGCCCCTTGAAGCTTGGAGCTGAAGGAGCTGAGTACTTCCTCACCATTGTGGACGTCTACACTCGCATGACTTGGGTGTATGTGCTGCCCAAGAAGAGTGATGTAGCTGAAACGGTGAAGACCGATTGGTTGCCGATGGTGGAGCGGCAACAAGACCGACTTGTGAAGGCAATTCGCACTGACCGTGGGGGAGAGTTCCTGAGCAAGGATTTCTCAACTTGGCTAAAGAAGCAGGGCATAAGGCACTCTCTTACCATGCCCTACTCTCCTGCAATGAACGGCATCGCCGAGCGTGCGAATCGGACACTCACGGAGACGGCTCGGGGACTTCTCATTGAAGCCGAACTACCGAAGTACTTTTGGCCGGATGCGGTGCGGCATGCTTGTGTGGCCAAGAATAGAGCCTTGACTCATGCGGGAGAAGACAAATGGGTGCCCTATGTGGAGTGGATCGGAAGGAAGCCGAAGGTGGATATGCTTCTGGTGTTCGGGTGCATGTGCATGGCACTTGTGCCTAAGAAACTTCGGCACAACAAGCTTGATGCCAAGGCAACATGGGCCGTGCACCTGGGCATGGCTCAAAACAGCAAGGGATGGCTTCTTTGGTACCCATTTACCAAGAAGTTCTTGGTGAGCACAGATTGCAAGTTCATGGAGAACTTACCGTACAAGGAGTGGAAGGCGGAGAACCACGCGAAGATTGGTGTGTGGCTTGAAGAGGTGAAGAGTACCGGCTTGGAGCATGTGGAGCTGCCCTTGAAGCTGAGTAGCAGCAGTACAATCACGAGGCAATCTCCTCAAATTAATGGGGATGAGGAGGAGGAGGTGCAGCAATATGATGAGCGTGCACCGTCACTTCCGCCCCGTGCTACAAGTGCTCGTTGGAACCGACCAGATTTACCGCAACGCCATGAGAGCATTCAAGTCCCTGCAACAGAGGAGGAAGGAAGGGCGAGAAGGAGGACTCAGCCCCCCAATAGGTTGAGCTATGACCGGCTTGGAGGACCAGCCAACTCAACCTTGACCGGTTCGGCTCTCATGCTAGGCGATGATGCGGAAGATGAAAGCGAGGAGTGCGCCTTTGCCTTCTTCTCTCCGGTGGAGATGTCGGGGGAGCCTACAAATCCCAAGGAGGCTTGGGAGGGCCCCAATGGGAAGGAGTGGAAGAAGGCCTCAGATGAAGAAATGGGGAACATGATCGAGAACGACACCTTTGACTTGGTGAACCTACCTCCGGGGCGGAAGGCGATTTCTTCCAAGTGGCTCTTCAAGCGCAAGACCGACGGCGACGGCAATATTGAGTGCTACAAGAGCAGACTTGTAGCCAAGGGGTATCAGCAGCAAGAGAAGAAGGACTACAATGAAGTGTATGCCCCTGTGGTGAAGGGTACAACCCTTCGAACCCTCTTTGCCGCGGCGGCCATCAAAGGATGGGTGGTGAAGCAAATGGATATAGTAACGGCCTTCCTCAATGGCGTTTTGAAGGAAGAGACCTACATGGAGCAGCCAGAGGGGTACAATGATGGGAGTGGCAGAGTGTGGAAGCTGAAGAAAGCACTCTATGGCCTCAAGCAAGCCCCTAGGCAATGGTACATCAAGCTGCGGGAAGTCTTGGAGGCGATCGGCTTCACTCCTTCAACGGCTGATCAATCCTTGTTCATGCTTGGCGAGGGGGAGCAGAGGAGCTTCATGGTGGTTTATGTGGATGACATCCTCATATTCTCACCCTCCTCTAACCTTGTGAAGGAGGTGATGCTGAAGCTTCAAGACAAGTTCAAGTGCAAGACCCTAGGAGACGTCAACTACTACCTTGGGCTTCACATTGAGCGAGATGTGGAGAAGCGGTGGATGCGAGTGCATCAAAAGAAGTACTTGGAGGCTTTGGCTGCAAACTTTGGGAAGAGTGAAGGTCATGTGACTACTCCTCTTCCCTCAGGGTTCAAGTGTGTGAAAGGACCAGCGGAGGAAAGTGTTGGTGAAGAGGAGAGGCGGCGTTTTCACTCCTTGGTGGGCAGCCTCATGTATGCGGCCGTGCACACAAGGCCGGATGCAGCCTTTGCTACCGGGCAGCTGGCTAGGGTTGTCCAATGCCCTAATGAAGAGCAGGTAGCAGCTGGAGAGAGGGTGGCCAAGTACCTTGGCCAAACAGCAACTGTTGGACTGCAATACTCCGCGGCGGCACAAAGGCGTCAAAAGGGTGCGGATGGAGTCGAACCCGGGAGGCTCTTTCTCACCGCCTTCTCTAATGCATCTTGGGCATCAAAATCAGAGGACATGACAAGTGTGGGAGGCTTCATCTGCTGTGTTGGTGGAGGGCCAACAGCTTGGGAGAGCAAGAAGCAAGTGGACCAAGCATTGAGCTCGGTTGAGTCCGAGTACATGGCACTCTTCCGTGCCATAAGAGAGGTTGTGTGGCAGCGGCGTTTGCTAGCTGAATTGGGGGAGGAGCAGCAAGGACCTACCCCACTCTACTGTGATAGCCAAGGTGCTATTGCATTGGCAAACAACCCCATTCTTCATGGCCTTACGAAGCACACGAAGGTGAAGTGGCATTGGGTGAGGAGCATGGTAACCGCAGGTGAAGTGGAGTTGCACTACGTGAAGACGACGGCATTGCCAGCTGATATGATGACCAAGAGGCTGGTTGAGCAGCAGCATTGGAAGTGTTGCAAGCTTGCTGGGATGGCTCTGAACTAAGGGGAGCAGATTCTAAGGCCAACAATCCGAGGGGGAGTTTGTTGGTGCAACCCTATGGCTTGCACTCGGCTTGTCGTCCTTGTTTGTGTGTGTGCATGCATGGCACGGAATGAATTGTGAGTCTATGTTATTGCTATCCAGTGCATGTGTGTGTGTTTGAATGGTGTATCACAATGTGGTTTGTGTCGGTCAAGACATTAGCGAGTTTTTACAACTTGCGTATCAAGTCGTCATTTGTGTGTCGCATGTGTTTTTTCTATTTTTGTCGAGTGTGAAGTGTCCATCGCATTGCAGGTGTGTGCAGCAAGCCCCCATCAGCTCAAGAAGAATTTATCTTGCATTTCCAAGACCAAGAGCTCAAGATTTCAAGCCCAAGGAACGCGGATAAATATAAAATAGTGAAAATAGTAACGCTACTTCGTGTAGTGTTATATTTCACTTGGTGTAGCCCCTTGGAGGGTTGGTTTCGAGACTCTTCGTGGTTGGGGACTCTGTGGTGGTGTACCACCAACCTGGAACTCGGCTCTTGGGGTATGTAGAGGCTGGGAACCATCTCCCTCTCGAATTCTTCTTCCTAAGTTTTTTGTACTCCTAAGACTATAGTGGCTGCTGTACCTCCTGCCAGTCAAACCGCCATAGCGTCGTCAAATCTTCATGGAATTTCATGATTCAACTTGCTGCTGATAGACGACAGCAACGCGCTCCAGATCCAACTTATAGATCACCGTTTGATTCAGCGAGCAGATCGTTATCAATATTTGGAGCCGTCTGACGGAAATCCGACTATGCTCTCTATCTCTCATAATTGGCACATCTGAGCCTATTGTGACTATAACCGATTTGACGACGCTATAGTGTTTGAGTGGCAGGAGATAGAGCAGCCACTGTAGTGTTAGGAGTACAAACTTAGGAAGAAGAATAGAGATTGAGATGGTTCCAAGCCTCTACAAACCCCAAGAGCCGAGGTCCAGGTTCGTGGTACACCACTACAGAGTGCCCAACCATGAAGAGTCTCGAAACAAACCCAATAAGGGGCTACACCAAGTGAAACGTAACACTACATGAAGTAGCATTACTATTTTCACTATTTTAATATTTATCCGCGTTCCTTAGGCCTGAAATCTTGAGCTATTGGTCTTGGTTCTGCAAGATAAATTCTTCTTGAGTTGATGAGGGCTTGCTTCACTCACCTGCGATGCAATTGACACTTTACACTCAACAAAATAGAAAAACACATGCGACGCGCAAACGACGACTTGACACGCCAGTTGTGAAAATTCGCTAATGTCTTGACCGATACAAACCACATTGTTATACACCATACAAGCACACACACAAGCACTAGATAGCAATGACATAGAATCACAAGGCATTCCGTGCCATGCATGCAAACATACGAACAAGGACGACAAGCCGAGTGCAAGCCACAGGGTTGCACCAACAAACTCCCCCTCGGATTGTTGGCCTTAGAATCTGCTCCCCTTAGTTCAGAGCCATCCAAGCAAGCTTGCAACACTTCCAATGCTGTTGCTCAACCAGCCTCTTGGTCATCATATCAGCAGGCTACGCCGTCGTCTTCACGTAGTGCAACTCCACTTCACCCGCGGTTACCATGCTCCTCACCCAATGCCACTTCACCTTCATGTGCTTGGTAAGGCCATGAAGTACGGGGAACTTAGCCAATGCATAGCACCCTAGCTATCACAATAGAGTGGGGTAGGTTCACCTAGTCAAATGTGTCCTCCTCTATGATGCTCCCCATTTCTTCATCTGAGGCCTTCTTCCACTCCTTCCCATTGGTGCCCTCCCAAGTCTCCTTGGGATTTTTAGGCTCCCCCGGTATCTCCACTGAAGAGAAGAAGGCAAAGGCGCACTCCTCGCTTTCATCTTCCACATCATCGCCTAGCATGAGAGCCGAACCTGTCAAGGTTCAGTTGGCTAGTCTTCTAAGCTGGTCATAGCTCAACCTATTGGGAGGCGGAGTCTTCCTTCTCCCCCTTCCTTCCTCCTCTGTTGCGGGGACTTGAATGCTCTCACGGCGTTGCTGCAAATCTAGTCGGTTCTCGCCAGCACTTGTAGCACGAGGCGGAAGTGACGGTGCATGCTCATCACCCTGCTGCACCTCCTCCTCCTCTTCTACCCCATTCATTTGAGGAGTTTGCCTTGTGATTGTGCTACTGCTACTGAGCTCCAAGGGCAGCTCCACATGCTCCAAGCTGCTACTCTTCACCTCTCCAAGCCGCACACCAATCTTCGCGTGGTTCTCCGCCTTCCACTTCTGGTACGGTAAGTTCTGCATGAACTTGCAATCTCTGCTCACCAAGAACTTCTTGGTAAATGGGTCCCAAAGAAGCCATCCCTTGCTGTTTTGAGCCATGCCCAGATGGACGACCCGTGTTGCCTTGGCATCAAGCTTGTTGTGCCGAAGTTTCTTAGGTACAAGTGCCATGCACATGCACCCGAACATCCGAAGCATGTCCACCTTTGGCTTCCTTCCAATCCACTCCACATAGGGCACCCATTTGTCTTCTCCCACATGAGTCAACGCTCTGTTCTTGGACACACAAGCATGCTGCACTGCATCTGGCCAAAAGTAATTGGGTAGACTGGCTTCAATGAGAAGTCCCCGAGCCGTCTCCGTGAGGGTCCGATTCGCACGCTCGGTGATGCCGTTCATTGCAAGAGAGTAGGGCATGGTAAGAGAGTGCCTTATGCCCTGCTTCTTCAGCCAATTTGAGAATTCCTTGCTCAGGAAATCTCCCCCACGGTTAGTGCGAATCGCCTTCACAAGCCGGTCTTGTTGCCGCTCCACCATCAACAACCAATCGGTCTTCATCGTTTCAGCTACGTCACTCTTCTTGGGCAGCACATACACCCAAGTCATGCGAGTGTAGACATTCACTATAGTAAGGAAGTACTCAGCTCCAGCAGCTCCAAGCTTGAAAGGGCCCACCACATCGATCACCACCTCATCAAGTGGTGCCTTCGCCATTGTCTCCGAGCTATGGAACAAGTAGCGGGTGAACTTGGCTTGCATGCATGTTGGACAGCCAAGCACCTCATTGGGCTCCCCCTTGACACGTATCCCACTGACCATCTATTGCTTAAATATCTGCTGCAAAATGGGCAATGCCACATGCCCCATTCGCCGATGCAAGGTCAGCCAATCGCACTCTCCCGTAGCGGAAGTCGGGTTGGAGAAAGCGGCACTCGCAATTGTGCCCCACAAGCTCTCTCCTTTCTCCTTTACCGCTGCTTCTTTGCTGATCTTAGGCTTCTCCACCTCATTTCCACCATCTTTGGCTGCTGCACCAGTCACCTTGGGTTCACACGCCTTGCGGGTCTCTCCAAGATTGCACTCCTTCGAGTCACTCTTGGTGTCACTTTATTTTTCGTGATCACTGCCACCAACCGCTTCAGTCTTGGTGCTGACACTTGCTGACACTTGCCTCTCCCTAGGCATGGGGACCTCTGGGATTTGCCAAATCTCATTGTAGATGTCCCTGTCCTCATGAAGGTTCCAAAGCTTCCGCTCACCAAGCCTCGCGGTATATGTTTTGGATCTCTTGGAAGATGTGTCCATGCCGGCCTTTTGCAAACGCCGCACGGAAATCAGGTTGGCTGCAAGGTTGGGCACCCAAAGCACGTTCTTGAGGCCCACCATCTTCCCATCAGCACCCTTGAACATGGCCTTGCCCATGCCTTTCACCTCTGCTCGCTGCCCCAAAGCCAATGTAACATGCTTGACCGGCGACGGTTCGAGTTCGGTGAGCAAGTCCGCGCGAGGTGTCATGCTATACAGTGGCGGATTAAATTGTCCACATGTTCTGCCTTTTTTGGCATTTTAATGAGTGCAGCGGCGTATACATTAAGCCTTAATGTATAGTGTGCATTCACGCTGAGAAGTTCAGTTAGAGCACTCACTCGAGTTGACAAACACCAAAGTAGTACCACACATGGTCCTTAAACACCTAAGCATAGCATAGGAGAACATGTGGACAATTTGTACTGAAAAAAGGTATCATACTAGATTCTAGGAAAACTAGTACCTAGTCCAGCGTCCCTTTGCCCGAATCACTGCCTTGATCCTCCTCGGCAGGCTGTCGATCAAGTTTGCACACACCTCCGGCGGTATCTTGTCCCATTCCTCCTGCACCCTCTCCCACAGCTCCAGCATTCCACTTGGCGGCTTTTCGTACTTCCCCAGCTGCCTTTTCAAGTGTGCCCACAGGTGCTCAATCGGGTTAAGGTCCGGGGAGCACGACGGCCATTCCAGCACCGCGTACTCCTGCTCCCCAAGCCAGTCTTGGACCAGACGAGACCTGTGCTTGGGATCATTGTCGTGCTGGAAAATGACCTCTGAGGGGGAAAGCTCGAAAAAATCGATGGTCTGTTTGAGCTCATCTTGCAAGATGCTGCGATACAGCGGCCCATCCATCCTGCCATCTATCTTGCACATGAACCCCGCCCCCTCATATGTCATGCAACCCCACACCATCACAGAACCGCCCCCATGCTTAACTGTCTGTTGGACTTGGTGGCTCCGAAGGCTGGTGCCCTCGCGAATCCAGGCGTACGCACGTCCGTCGGAGCAGTAGCGGTTTATCTTCGTCTCGTCAGACCAAATCACCCGCCTCCAGTCCTCCAGCGTCCAGTCGGCATGCGCCCGCGCGAAGTCGAGACGATCTCGGATGTTTTTCGGTGAGAGCCTGGGTTTCTTGGGCTGATGCACGGCGATCAGCCCCGCGGATCGTAATGAGTTCCGGACCGTCTTCGAGTCTACGGCGAGATCGTGCTTCTCCAACAACATCTTGGCCGCGTCTACAGAGCTTTTCGCCTCGCCGCTTGTCATCGCGCGTATTACTCCGCGCTGGAGACGGGTAGTGATTAAGCGGGGGCGGCCGGCCGAAGGCATCGTAGGTCGCACCTCCTCGCGACTAGTCTCGGCAGCGAGTTTCAAACCGTAATCGTGCACGGAGCTCTTGCCTATGCCAATAACTTTCCCTATTTTCCTAGTCGAATGCCCCGCACGCAACATGCTTATGATCCTCGCGCGCTTCCTCTCATTTAACGGCTTCATAGCGATGCGGTCGTAGGCTCGCTTCCGGACTAACTCCTAAGCCAGCAACTGGTGCGCGTGACGATGTACACACCGAGTGACGGGGGAAAATAGATCTACTCTTCCGCTCGGTACGAAATGTCCACATCGATAGTCGAGGAGTAAATTTCAACCCCACTTTCCGTTTGTGTCACAATCGTGCCAAGCAAGAAACGGATGAAGCAGAACTCAAAAACATTGTAACAGAATGGCAAAAAATGGGTGTTACTATTTTCGAAACATGTGTGGCATAACGATACGTTTCAAAGTGTTAAACATCCGGGCAATTTAATCCGCCACTGTAGGTGGCGCTGCTATCGATCACCCAAAAGTCCAGAGAGTGAAGGGTGACCTTTCCCACAGTAGCTGGCTCCTCAGAGCCTTCCACAGCTCCTGCTGCAGCTGCCGCTTGCGTGGAGACAAAGAAGAATTGGCCCGGGTATCGATCTTCACTTGGGCCCATCTCGTAGTCTCCACCTTTCATGCTTGCCGCTTCGCCTCCATGACCACCACGACCTCTGCCTCTTCCTCCCCTTGCTCGTCTGCCCTCTTGGCCTTGAGAAGGGGTCCATCCATCAGGCAATCTGAAGCAATCTCTCCACATGTGGCCGGTCTTATGGCAAAAGTAACATTCACCATCAAATCAACCGTGTCCACGCCCGTAGTCATTATTGTTGTTGTTGCTGTCATATCCTCCATTACCGCGGCCTCCATTGAAGTTACTACTGCCAAATCTGCCTCCTTGCTCTCAGCCCCTTCCGCGGCCGTGCCCACGGCCCATGCTTGCAACTCCGGCACCATCGGGACCCGCCAATTCGCGATGGAGGAAATCTTTTTGTAAGATTTCCCGCTTCACATCTTCAAGCGAGAGGCGGGGCAGATCTCGATTTAGGTTGATGATGAGCGAGGAGCATGAGTCCGGAAATAAGGCCAGCAGCTTGGTCTTCTTTTCAAGGTGACTGTAGTTCAGGTCAGCTCTTTCGAGCCATGTCAACAAGTCAAAGAATTTCTGCACTCCTTCCTCCACCAGTTCGCCTTCGTCAATTCGAAGTGC